GCGGAGGGACAGCTGAAGTCCACCCCACTGGCGGCGGATGACGTCGCTGCGAGCAAGGAAGCGCGCGTTGACAGAGCGGACGAGGTTCTTCAGCGCCGCCTCGTCCTCAGCGTTCACGTCCGTGATCGCAATGCACGTAGCCGTCTTCTGCCCAATCGCGTCGCCGAGGCGCGCCTTGTCCTTCACGATCGCGTACGGGATCTTGTTGGCGCGGCACAGCGTTGGCATCCACAGCACCAGCTCGATCGGGTCGACGTTGTTCGCGATGATCACGAGACGGGCGGTCTTCTTCTCGATGGTGCGCGTCACCTCCTGCAGCCCCGTCACAACGCTCAGTGGCGCCTTCGTCGACACCGTCTTCTTCGGGTTGCTCTTCTTCTCCTCCGCGACCTTCGCCAGGCGCTCCTTGCGGGCCTTGCGCGTCTCCGGCGCGTACTTCTTCACCAGCTTCAGCAGCTCGTTGCGGCTGGAGCGGTCAAGCACCCTCGTGAACTGATGCAGCGCAGGCGGCACCTTCAGGCGGCGCTGCAGCACACGCTTCTTGCGCTGCATCGTCACGAAGGTCGGCCACCGCATAAAGCGCGAGAGGTCGCGCGCGTACGGAACGTCGTGGCCAATGCCGAAGTTCTTCGGACGCGCCACGAACGGCGACGGCGCCGCCGGCTTGTCCTTCTTGTACGGCTCAGCAGCCTTGGCGGCGGGCTTGGCGGCCTTCTTCACTTCCTTGCCGGGCATGGTAGAATGCGCTGTTAGATGGTGTGAATAAGAAGAAAACGAAATATTCAGCAAGAATGAAAGGATTTGGGTGGGTGTCGTGCAGCGATGTTTGCCAGAATAGAGAAAAGATGTGCGGAGAGGGGCTTATTTCTTTTTTTTTTTCACAGAACAGTGGATATACCCACAACTAGCACGGAGAGGCATCTTCTCTCTCTTTCAAGGCCTATTCCTGCTGCTGCTTCTGTTGTTGCTTCTTTTTGTACTTCTGGTGCTGTTGTCTTTTCATGCCTCTCTCATCCATTGGTGACCTTCGCACCCATTACCTTCACTCATCCACGCATTCTCCTTTTCATCTGCTGGTTTCGTCTCTGGTAACCTTGTAGCATTCGCCGCAGCTCCACGAGAGCAGCGGCAAATACATGCCACCACAACCACCACAGAAATACGAGGCAATGATGATAAAGGTTCATAACAGAGAGAGAGGAGAGGAGTCAGCTGCCACCGTCGCGCTTCGTGTGAGAGTTGATGTGCACTACATTCGCTGGTAGCACACGCAGGCTTCGGCCTTCAGTCTGAGGTGTTCCCACGTCATTGCTACCACCAACGCTAGACTGTCGGTACTTTTTCTCAACATCTCTTTCGATCTTTCTTTGCTCCCGTTCCACAAAGTAGTGAAAAAGGCGTCTAAATGTTGACTGTTCATCCCTGTCTCCTTCGCTGTTTTCGTCGTCACTAAACCTCAATGACGCGTTGTTCCCGTTGGCCTTGTAGTTGGGTGTACCATTATCCCTACTGCTTGTCATCTTTTTGCGTCGTCGTTGCAGCGTGAGGGACGCGTTGGCGGCGGTGCGGCGATCACTCTCCTCATCCCCGTAAGAGAAGTTGTACTTCGACTCCATTGTCACCCTATTTCGATGTCGCACCTCCGCGCGAATGTACCTCTCCTCCTCACGCTTGCAGGGGTGGAAAAAGAAAAGTTCCTGGGTGTTGAGGTTCATGAAACGCACGACGCCGGAAGTGGTTCGGTACAGCACCCAGCCGTCAGGAATGGGGTCGATGAGCAGCATCTCCTCCACCATCACGAGGAGGTCTTCGTCGCGTGGGGAACGGATGCCGAGGCTGCAGCGGAACTCTTCAATGTCCGCCACGCTGAGGGCGGTGTCATCGGCGCTGCTGCTGCTGCTTCTGCTGCTACTACTGCACTCATCGCCGGCGCCCGCGCCACCGTCGTGGTCGTCTTCGGCAAGCGTGAAAGACTCACCGGGCGGCAGCGCGCCCGTGTGCAGGTAGCCCAGCGCTTTGTACTTCCGCTCCGCCCGCCGCCGCGCGGCACGGCGCCACTTGGCTATGAAGAGTCGCACACGAATGGACGCGATGTACGCTGCAGCACATGCGCAGGTGCCTACCCACGGCAGCCACCGCGGCACCGCCCGGAGCAACGCGGCGCCAGCGTCACTCGCCGTCTCTGCCTCGTAGAGTTCGCGTCTAAGCTTCAGCAGGGTAGGCATGAATGGTGCCATAGACTGGGGGAAGGAGTACCACGGAGGAAAAGCGAATGTGAGGTGTGTCTGTACGTCCTACCTGGTTAAATGGCAAGGCGACAACAGTAAAAACAAAGGAGAGAAGAACCGACTGTGTGGCGCGATGGAACAGCATAGCATCAAATTATCGGAGCGAGTAAACCAGATAAAACAAGAGCATAGTAATGCGAAACAAATAGAGGAGGAGAGAGAGAGCATACATTGGACCTCTCTACATAAGCGTCATCGAGGAGGATGACACGTCCACATCAGCAAGGTTTGTCTGTGAAGAAGAGAAAAGAAGAAAACCAGAGAAAGTTGCTACGAGATCACCACGAAAAAACTTTGACTGCTCTGAAGAACAGACAGTGACGACTCCTGCACAGCCCTTCGCGACACAGAGAACGTCGGATCAGCCTCCCCCACCGTGTGTCGCCGCCGGCTCAGTGGAGCTGTTTGCTTCTTTTGAATGCCATCGCTCCCCGTCAATATGACATACAGAGGCAGGTCAAAGAGCTTGCGCCACTCGGTCTCCGCATCAAGCTTCGATGCTGTGGGGACGGCACAGACCAGAGGCAGCGCACTCGAGGCCTGCACTTCCGAAGTTGTAGGGAACACATCTGGGGTGATGCCGGTCAAAAAGACAATGCTAGGTCGGTTTAGTTGTGTGGTGGTAACTTGTTCTAGAAGCTTCTCACCGGGCCGCACGTCCCACATCACGTCGTTCAGCCGCCCTGCTGAATCCCCATCCGACACTCTCTGGAAGCGTGCAGCAATGATTACATCCTCCTCTGTGTCCTCTGTACCAGCGCTTTTCTTCCACGAGAGACAAGAAACGTCCCAGTCAGTGTGCAGGAGTACCTCCTGCTCTAGAGGGCTCGACGGCCACGCGTCAGTGAGGACAATGTCATCATGCAGAAGATTATACCGCCGCAGTATCACCAACACCATACCCACACGATGAAGCTCATCCGCTTTGCGGCTCACCGCCTGTGCCGCGAAAGCATGCAGCAGGAGTCGTGGATGTCGCAGAGATGGCAGCCATACGGCAAGTGTGTCACCAGGCATCCAACAACGGAGCCGCTCCACTGCCGCTCGCACACGTGCAGCCATTTCTACGTTCCCTGCAGCTTTCAGCGCCACATCGAGCCTCTCACCGTGACCATCTTCCCAAAGAAACATCAATTCAATGATATCACCCATAGCTGGCGACTCACTTTTCAAAGCAATACCAGTAGAAGAGGAAGCAGAAGGAGTGGTGAGTGGTGTACTCTTCGTGCTTTGCGCCGCACCTGCATAATCGGCGGGTACTTCTAATTTAGGCGGGATACGACTACCGTACAGAAGGTTCCGCACGTAGCCATCGATCAGATCGCGGTAAGCCTCAGCAGAAGTATCATCTCCACAAAGCCCATAGAAATCATCATTTGACTGTTGAAGCTCATTAAGGAATGCTGAATCTGAAAATCCATTTTTTGCAGTCTCATCAATGGCAACGCTGGCGCTGAGGAACTGAGTCAGCTCAGATTCGTTTGTGGACATTCGTTGTCGCAAGATTTCACCTATAGCCAAGCTGCAATGCGGGCCACACACACGAGCCGCATAGATACTGTAAGCTATCTTGTTAAACACGCTTTTGACGCGTTCAAGGTATTGTCTCTGCCCATCGTTTTCATCTTCAGCAACAGAGACTTTGTGGCTTAATCGACTTGGCAAACGCACCGAACGCCGCTTTGATGAAGTCGTTCTGGCTCTCACGCTTTGATTGTTGCGCACCCACATTGCGGTGAGACGAAGGATGAGGGAAAGGTCCTCAGTATCTACGGTTCCATGGTTGATTGTGAATAGGACGTCACCAAAACCCTTATCGTCCCACAGGGCGTGTCTTATGATCTGCAAGCTAATAAGGCCAACGTGTAGTTCAATAGCATTCATTATCTTGGGCACTTGCGGTGTTCCAATGCCGTGCCGTCTGGCAGTACCACTTTGCCTTTCTTGAAATCGTTCTGTTGTGTAGGATCCTTCCAACAAAAGTGTTGTGCCTTCCCGTTTCCATGGCGCAAAGACAGAGTCTTCTTGCAGCAAGTTCAGCAGATGAAACCGAGAGAGTGACATCGCTGATGTCATGGCAAAGCACCAATTCTCCAGCATTTGAGCACATGCACCGTGTTTGCCTCTCAGCAAGTCACGCACCGCGCAGCACAATAGCACTGGGAAGCGGGAAGTATCCCCGTTCCGTAGCTGGCCCCACGCGCCGTACTGGCAGAAGCGTGAGAGCTGCGCCGACAAGGCCTCAGCAAACACAATTTCATTGGAGGCATCGGTGGGGGGAACCAGCATAGCCAAGACGCAGTGGCCGCGCCCTTGGTTTAGGGGGCGAGTACGGAAGTACTCCGACACATTATCCATGAGTTGTTCCATCTCCTCTGGGGTTGAGATACGGTGGAAATGGTATGATAAATTCGCCACTTTGGCGCGCTGCTCAACACGTTTTACCCCTTGGTGGAGGTCTGGTACTCTCAAGGAGAATGGAACGCCGGCACTTAGACTAAATCGTAGCCACTCCTCAATGGAGTGAACACTTGCTGGATGCTGACCAATGTACTCGTACAGCATAGCCACCTCATCCTCCCCATCGGTGTTTTGCTCCTTCACAGCGAAGATAAACGCATCGTAGAGATGGGAAGCAATCCACTCACATGTTACATAGTTAAGCTTCATCCAGTTTGCAAAGAAGCTACGCACCAGTCCCTCACCACCGCCACTCTGTTCTTCATCCCCACAAAGTCGGTTGTCGACGGCACTGATACTAGAGTGAGAAGCGACAAAAGCTAGATCATTGAGCAAAGCATCGCTTGACGCGGCACACGCGCTGTGAACAAACTCTTCGTCAATAGCATCAATTCTTCTATCCAGCAAGCGATCCAGCACCTTGTACTGCTCACGGTTGAGCAACACTGTAGAAGAAGAATACAGTTCACCTCTGAGGCGCAGAATAATCCCACATTCATTAATCACGGCGGAGAGTAGATACCACGCGAAAAGCCCACGTAACTCACATGGCCAGCCGCAAGCAAACACTTGAACAACTCGCTCGACAAAATTGGTCGATGCGTAGAACTCCTTATGCATCTCCGGTATAGATTCAAATGTGTTGGGTGAGATACGCCGCTGGTATGGTCGTGACAACTCCATCACACTTGTTATTAGTGCCTCCAGCTTACGTGAACTCCAGTGTCTACCAAGGATCTTCGTCTCAATAACCCTGAGTGCACGCTCCACAGAGTAGATACTATACTTGAGGTATTTCCATGATTCCGTGACTCGTTTTTGCACAAACTCTTGCTGAAGCGAAATGCGTGATACACGGACATGATACGCATTAAGATCCCCGACGAGTTTATCGAGACGATCGAGCACGCCGTCCTTGTTTCCTGTAATAATTTCAATATTCTCACATAGCAAAGAACTTGCTTCATGAATAGCATCGCGGAAGATAGCGAGTACATTCTTGTCATCTTTCGGTGCGCCGAACAGATCATTTACCTCAGCCCCATCGTTGGCATTCGGGGTCAGTAGAAGGGCGTCGTTCAGACGATCGTTCGCACTGATAGTGAGGTGAAAATTGGTAATTGTCATGAGCCGCGACGCCGCGTGGCCTGCCTCATCGAGCTGCACAACTGCAGACGAAACGCATACAAGGAAAAAGGAGGGGTTAATCTCCACGTTTTCCCCAAATAATGAACATTTCAATGGATCATTCCGCATCCGCGCCTCCCGCAAACTTGGCTGGAGGAGTAGCAACGCACGTAGTCTTTTCAGCAAAAAATGCTGGTTGACATCACAAAGCAGCAAGCCCCAACCATTTTTTGCCGCCTCCAATAAACCCTCAGAGAAGTTATTGTCAAGCGCCGATGTCACTATGCAGTCCCCGCACATAGACTTGAGACACTGATTTACAACCCTCTCAAAGGTCGGACGCACTCCACCAAAGCATGGCCAGTGAAGATGTGTCCTCTGTAATAGCGCACTTACACACAGTCGTTCATGAATAGAGAAAGTTCTTACAAGCGCGCTGTCGGTAATATCAGTCATAGTCGGAAATAACAACGAGACAATGGGATCCTGTAGGTTTTTCGGCATCGCAACATCCCACGAACTCAGCAATAACTCTAGCTGATCGAAACACAATTGCTGCTCCGTCGCCGGTAACGCTGCAAAGAAGGCACGGTAAGCAGCCACCATAAGGACAGCTCCCTCTCCGATTTCTGCCATCTCCTCTCTTGCTGCCGCCTCCTCTGGAGAGTGAAATGGAGCGAAGCGGTCAACGATATCGGTAAGCAGCACGAGAGCGTGTTGACGTTTCGTTGCATCCTCCATTACCGAACTGAAGTGTTTACACTTCTCCTCTAAAGCCCGAGCCTCCGCGTGGGCGCTTCCCGCTTTTCTTGAGGCCTCGTCTGCCTTCTTTTCCGCATCACTCTTCTTGCCTCTGGATTCTGAGTACATGAGGCGCTTCTCATTCAGTCGTGCATATATCTCACGAACCTCCTCTCCCACATGTGATGCCTCCATGAGGCTGACGACGTACTCCGCAACCGCGCTAGCAAATGGTGACAATTCACCAAAGCGCGCCTCACGCAGGGATGCGTGGAGCTGTGAGAAAGACTCGTGCGTCAAACTGCTCGGCAATACTGCTAGCAACCGTGATGCAAATTTTGGGGCTGTCATAATCGATTTGCCGTACTCCCATAATTCCTTGGAAGTCCCAGGCGGCACCTCCTCACCAAGAATCTTGCAGACCGCCTTCACGAGCTGCGCCCCTTTTGTAATGGGAGGCAGAGTGGCAAACTGCTTGATTTGTGTGGATTTCATGGCACTCAAGCGTGTTGACGCACCAGTGAGCGCGGCGGCAATGCTTCCTGTCTTTGCCTGCATTGCTTCCTCTTCCTGGATGATGATTAACTCCGTAGCGGTTGCCTCTTGATGGTGACGATTTGCTGTATTTTCATATATGAACGCCTGTTGCTCTTCCTCCCCCGCGTAATCAAGGAGAACCCGCATCTGCTGTTCAGCAGTCTCCTTTGCTTGAGCTGCCTCGTTGTAAGATGCTTCATATTCTTCTTTCTTGGCGATAATGGCATTGGGCAATTCAGCGATATGTCGCGATTGTGCAGAATGGCGACGAAGCTTCCACAAAAACCATCGGAGCTGTTGGGCCTGAAAAACAAATTCTAGAAGCTGTTCCACCTGCAGGTTAATGTTCAGTTTCATCGCATCGAAAATATCACACAAGAGCTGTGCATAGGGACGCGCAGCCAACTCTGTGACATCTGACATCATTGAGACGCTCATGTCGTTGTTGTTGTTGCTGACCCTCAAAGAAGTATCGAGTGCTACCTGGTGATCAAATTCGTCTGTGCTCAGGAGTATGTCAACGAGCTCCTTCAGCATTTCTGACGCCCGCAACGGCACTGGTGACATTATGGAAATCAAAGGCATTGTTTTCCCCACGCGTATCACCTCTTCATGACTCTGGAAGTGTACTACAAGGCTCAGGCGCCTGCAGACGCGGCGGCGTAACTCTGCGTGCTCGCTCACTGTTAGTCGTCCAGAAGTGCGTCGGATGCCCCGTCTGCCGTGCAACAGAAACAACTGCTCGTCGAACGTGAAGAGCTGTGACATGTTGCCACCGCGCACAATTGCATCTAGTTGGCCCATCGGCCATCCTAGCGCAAGCATGCTATTGGGGACGAATACTACCAGTCTGCCGTCGTGGCGGCACGTATGTTGTAAGATATCAATGAGATCCTTCTTGAAGTATTCATTGGCGGTGGGTCCGGCGTAATTGTCGCGAAGGAAAGCCACATGAACGTGCACTGCGGTCGCCCACACACGAATAGCCCTACGAATTCCTCGGTCATAAGGTCCAATAAGCGCGACGTGAGTCTGCTCCTGTCGCAGGCACTGGTGAAGTGTCGCAGTCAAAAAAGTTATCCAACGTGACGCGTACTTCACCTGCGAAACCCGCGGCGCCAGTGCCTTTTTTAAAACAGCCGCTGATTTTCGCCCCTGTATTGGTGGTGGGACAAAGACTACGGCTGTGCTGTTGTCGGTGTTGAGTGGCTCTTCAATTACATTTGATGCCACAGCAGCTTCATACTTTCGCAACCACTCCTGTGCACTTGAGGCGGTATAAGGCGGTAATTCAGTGTCACCATATCCTTCCATTACGGGCTCGTCGCGAATCTGCTCAAAAGAGACTGGATCTGACCCAAAACAATTGTTGAGGGTTGCATTGGCTGATTGTTTCAGCAATATTTGAAGTTGCTGCTGCTGCTCTGGAGCATGTAACATAGTCGTGTAGAAGGCATACACCGTGCAGAAAACATTTATCACGGCGTCACGGTCCTCCCACTGCGTACTGAGAAAACGCAACACCCGATCCGATATTTTCATGAACAGGTTTATATACGAGAGAGGGACTCTGCCTTTAAAATCGGAGCCAAAGGTACGACGTGGATTGTATTCATTTGGAGCATCATCATCTTCTCCATTCACCAGTCTGTCGGCCTCTGCGGATGTGCCGCGTCGCTTCCCTACAAGCTCATGGAACATCAGGTGCAATGCGGCGGCCTGGGCACTGGCGAGAAACGCACAAACCTCTCGCGGCAGCACTAACCCTCGGCGTGTCGCACAAGCAGCGTTAAGGAGATTTCGAACCTCATTCAACACCTCCGATTCCTCAAGATGAGGTAGCCAGAGTCTAACCATGGTGCCTTCCACCTCTGCGGTGTACGAAGACCCAGGGGGGGAACTCCCTACGCACACCACATCGGTGATGGGAATGTACCCGACCGAAGGTGGGCATATGGCGGAGAAACGGTTAATAAATGAAAAGAGATCCATGGCTTGGGAGGAACTCTTGTCACCAGAAAGGTGTACATCATCGACACAAAGCACCAGCCTCCGTCCTACAGAAGGTCCGTATAACTTTGACTGACGCAACGAGAGACTCTGTAGCAATATTTCCTGTACTTCAACAGCCTTACATCCCTCGTTGTTATACACCATCTGGTGCTCCCACTGCTCGTTCTTCCGCATATGGCGCAGGATGGTAGACTTGCCCTGGTCGCCCTTTCCAATAAGGATCATGGGCTGTCCAGCACAAATCAAATGTTCCAATGCCGTAAGTGTCGTCTCACGTGAGGGAAAGTGAAAAAAATGCGACCAGACTCGCTTCTGAAGATCCAACTCAGCAGTTCCATGAGCCCACACACTAGTAAAGCCGGCCTCCACTGCCGATTTTCCAAGCCTCTTCCACCCAACTGGAGTTGCAATGTAGAACAGAATGTCATTCTCGAGAGGCGGCAGAACATCATCGGTAAAGCCAATTTCCTTCGCCACCTTGTTCAGTTTTGACTGCACCTTCTCAAGGGCTCCAGACAAAACAGAACGCTCTTCTTCACGCAGACGTAAACCAAGAGACCAGCAGGTCGCAAATACGGCACACTGCAAAGCAAAGGCTGACTCGCTAATCCATTCCTCACGACTCGTACACCGCGACTGTGCATAGACAAACCAGCGCTTGTACAAATGAGAGCATCGCTGGGACACAGAAAACTTGTTTTCGTGAGGCACATCTGATTGATCCAGGGAGAGTCGCGTGTCCATAATACCATCGATTAAACTCGCCATGACAGGGAAGGCAACCGCCGCATGGTAGCTCGGTTCGGATAGGAGAAGCTCCTTCAGATACGCTTTCCAACTGGTTGGTCCAGACAAGGCGAAGACAGCAAAATCTGTCATCACACGCGGATTAGCGTTATCAAGCGCAGATGTAACCATGATGACACGCATCAGGGGGCTCTTCACAGATTCTGCCCATGAATACGGCCGGATCCTCTGAAACGTTGGCGCGTCAAAAGCAATGGACGCCCGCAAAAGGCTTGCGCCCTCAATGATAATTGTATGGTTTACCAGTGGATCCCATCGCTTTGCCAAAGAACTAAGGAGACCTGGTTGGCGGGCGTCACCATAGACCTCGGCAGAACTCATCAGACGAAAAGAAAACACAGCATAGTGTGCATTGCCAACCCATCGCTTCCAAAGTCTTGTCTTCCCAGAGTAAACAGGTCCCACAAGCACCACGTTTGTATTAAATGTTATAAAACGGGTGAACTGCTCCAAGAGACCGTCAAACCCTGACATTGCCTTGACCCGTGTCAACGCATCCTCCCAGAGTTCTTGCGAAATGCCAAGCGTATGTACCACATTCCATTCCAGTAGTTTTCCTAGGAGCTCACTCGTTCGCACCACCTGCCAAAACTGGTACAAAAAAGATGTACAGAGATTTTCTGCCAATGTTCCTGAATCATTATTAGCAGCATCCCGTATGAAGAACAAGAAACTCCTTAATGTAAAGATAGATGGTGAAACCTCCATAAACTGAGCGTACATTGCCGCCAATCTTTGGCCCACGGCCATGCATTGAGAAAAACCAAGCGCCTGAAGAGTACCCTGCGCAAGTACTGATAGATCAACAGGTGGCAAGAAAATAGGTCGAAACGCGAGACCGAGACTCGTCGGAATTGCATTGTATTCGCGTGCGGTGAGAACAACTTGAAAGCAGGGGTCTCTATGCACAGACATGGTGTCGCCATCTACTTCAAAATACACCTCGGGAAGGCCACCCCCATGCAGCTCCTTCCCGGTCCGACATGCAGATTCAACGCTTTGGAGCAGCTTGGTGATGGGTCGAAGAAGACTCATTTTCAAGAGGTCAACATCCTTTAAGCAAAGCACAGCACCCACACTCAAAGCGCCGCGCATTCCCCGCGCTATCCTTTCCAATGTGAGTTGCGGGTGGCATTGAATGCAGTACCAAAAACGACCCAGATATTGAGCACAATATTCCAGAGAGGAGCCCTCCTCAGGCTCTCCCACAAGTATGGGAAAAGATGGCGCTGAAAAAGACACAAAAACAGAGTATAATGCCTTTTCGACGAATTCAGGAGTTAACATGGGAACAGTGTAGTTGCCCAAAAACTCCATCCCATACTTAAAACGAAATCCCAGCATTTGAACAGCAATTCCATCATTGTCCATGACAGTCTGCAGCATGGCTGTTCTATCAAGATCCTCTGTTGTTTGCACACCTGACTTCAATATCATTTGAACTTCTCGTCCGCAATGCAAAAGGAGTGTAATTGCACTAGAAAAAACGCGGCGTTCCATGCCATCCATACCTCCACCAGCGAGACGTATATATTCTTCCGTAAGATCCTTCAAACGCTTTGAATAAGCAGTAATACCAGCACTACCCGCAATAGATAAAGCTTCACGCAAATCTCGATTGTGAATCACACGAAGAGCCACGTCAACCACCTGTACACATGAATCACGCAACCAGGTTAAAGGATCGAGGTGGTAATGGCTTTCAACAGAATTGTGCAATTCACGAAGCAAAGAGAAGCGCATGTTCTTGTCAAATATCCCCATCCAACGCTCAATGGGAACTGGTGATAAGGCAATTGGCTCCTCCGCCCTAAGTGTTGCCCCATCAACAGTGATAAACGCCGTGACTGCATTACTTTCGACATTAACATCGAAAACACGACTGTACATTTTTGAAAGCAAACGCGTCAACGACGTCTTATTCAATACCGAAAGAAATGAAAACATCTCAGCATCACTAAGGAAGTGAAATCTTGGAAATGCCTCTCGTTTCGAATCAAATAATCCTGTGAGTACCTTCTTAATGTCACTCAAAATTGTACACGCCAAAGTGAGTTCTTCTTGAATATTTTCCTGCATCATGGCGGTAAAAAGAGTGTACTGTGGTTTCTGTAATGTTGTGGACAAAATTCTAAAAATGTCATTGATTGAGCTTACCTTCTCGTGTAAAAACTTCCATTCACGAGACCCAGGCACAGGCACCTCATCATCGGTCATTGAATCAAGGGTCATGCCAAAGTGTAAAATTTCTATCCATTCTTGTTCAACCTCCTCCCAGCTTTGCAAAGTACCTCTCATCTTTTCAGAAGCAGCCTTCCATTCACTAATGGAGTTCACAACAAAATGACTTAGAGAATCATGAAGACGCAGCTTTCTCAAATCATAAAGAAATGACTCCAATTGACAGCGTATAGATTCTTTACATGCAGGAGAAAAGGCAAAAGCATCCTTGGTTCCTCCAACAAGCTCAAAGAGAAAACGAGTCTTTTTGGCTTCGCTCTTCATACGTTCTAAAGCAGCTTCTGTGTTAAAATCAACAAGAGCAGGGTCCACCACTCGCTGTAATTCATCGAGGTGATCTTGAATACCAGCCTCCAGTAGGGTTCGTAATGTTACACTTGAATCGATTTGTTTGTTGCCTTTTAGTTCTGGACCAAGAATACGTGCAATTTCTTTCCAATGACTTTTGCGAAGACCTGGGGTCGTTATACATATAAGAATACCCTCAAGTGACTCAAAATCAGTCAATACTTGTTCCTGTTGGCGACCTAACCGCACCAATCCTGGATAAGCACGAAGACTACGCGTGGAAGAGTGAAGAAGTCGTCGACACTGCTGAACATTTTCGATCATCTTTTCAGCCGCAAGATTGTTAACAGAGCACTTGTAATAGTCTTTGACAACAGTTGAATCAAAAACAGCGCCCCAAAACTGTTCCAATACTTCAAAGCTCTTCAGTAAAGGAAAAAAATCCTCAAAAGAGTCTACTTCTTCAATTTCGAGAGATCGCTCACAATAAGAAATGTGGTCAATAGCCTCAAGAACCTGATCGACAATAACCCGAAGCTCCTCACAGGTCTGAGCCGCTATATCACAAACATCAAGGTTAAACAAGCTCAATAGCTCATCTACACCGTCGCGTATTGTCGTCACTTGACTACGAGTGTTGTTACGCAAAGCCCCCAGCTTCTCAATAAGGAACGGTCTACTTTTGGCACGGATTTCATCAGCCTCCCAGGCTAATTTCATCAACTCACTTGGACGCCGCATCAATTCCACCGCTGCTGCGTACAATTGCACATTCACAGGTATTCTAAGACTCTCCAAGCACTCAAACCATTCGATTACCCTCTTGCAATCGTTCATTTCGACCTCCTTCGAGAGAGTTTCGGTGTCCTTAATAACACGGCATAACTCTTCCAATTCCTCAACACTTTTGGGCTCCTTACTCAACCTCTCGCTATGGCAACGACACCTTTCCACAGATGCTATCAGATATGTCAGAAAATCACTCTGAATTGCAGCCAAATAATTTTCAATATAACGCAACCACTGTTCAGAATAATACCTCTTAACTTCGGTACAATTAATGGCGATACAACCGCAAAACACAACATCTGGAGAATTCTTGCCAATTTTCTCCAAACCTTCACGAAGTAAACAAACCTGATCTTGAATTGTTGTGCTCTTTACCCGAGTAAAGTAGGCTCCAGTTAGTGGTGGTAAATTTGAAAACTCCGAGTACTTTTCCGTCAACTCTTCAATCACACAGCCAGTAGCATCAAGACACTTCACCAGGACAGCCTTCATAGAAAGTTCAGCGGCATCAAATGAGTTTAATGAGCGTCTTTCAAAATCGAGTGTTCGCATGATGACAACCTCAGGAGTGGGAAGACTATTGGCACTATCAAGCAACTCATCCAAAAGATCAGCTATGCCGAACCTAAGCCGGGCAAAAGATGATGAACGCGGCAAGCCACACCCGCCAACAGTGAGAGAAACTTCAAGAAGGGGCCTTTTTCGAGCCTTGGAAAGCGGGACAATAGAGTCCCCAGCAGACTCAAAAAAAAACACTAGGTCTTTCAAGGCGTCAAGAATAAGGGTTCTAACGTGATTCACAAGAAAAACACGCACAGCCAAGAAAATACGTCCTAGTTCGCTTTCTTTCAAAGTCTGCGAATCCAACGACATGAATCTCCCAGACTCTCGAATTGTACCAAACAAGATCTGCTCCAATTGAGTGTAGAATTCAATTCTCAGTTTAGTAAAAGCTGCTCTCATTGAGCATTCTAATTGACCAAGGAATCCTTCAGCATCAGTTTTCCAATTAGCAGTTGTTGTGTCAAATATAACAAGTCTATCAAATCGGTTCATCCACATATTTTGCAAGTCCATGAAAAATTGATGAGTTCTCACACCCCAGGGCAACGACGCTTTCAAAGAAGAAGCAGATGCATTAAAAAGTAAAGATACCTCGAAACGTCCTTCTTCACTCATAATCTCTTGTTTGAAAAGAGTCGACTGGTTGTCCTCGGCATTATCTAGGCATAATGGTGAAACAATTTGACGAAAAAGTGAGCTCTGATTCATATACTGATATATAGCATGTGTACACGCCCTCATGTACACTTTTTTAATCTCAGATACCACACGCTCGACAATAATCCTATATTCTGCAGGTACACCCAAGGTTGCCAAAACAATTATACGTCGCAAACTATCCCTATCACAAGATAAATGTTCTTTAGCAATCTTCTCGTAGAGATCAACGAGTAGTGAAGTGCGTAGTTCCCGGTCTAAATTGGACGATGCTATTTGCATTTCTTCGCAGGTTTCAATGGGAATTCTCACAGCATGTCGCTGAGAAGACGACAGAACATTTCGGAAAGGTGGACCTTTCCAATCAAGCCGAAATGTCCCTACATACGGAGAATAATGGGCTCCAATTCTTGCACTCGGTGATGGAGAATGCCACTGACATAAGCAAACAGCATCAAAGAGGAAGCTTTCCCGAAACTCGGGAAAAAGCACCGTTTCTGTCTGGCCCGTGTAATCTGGTGAGAACCCAAACAGGCTGAAATCAAATGTGACACCATATTTCACTTCGGGCTCAACCCGAACAAAAGGCCGAGGGATTCCATCCAGAAAAAGCGCAATAACCTTTTCAAAACGACCAGCCACACTATCCTCATGTTGACATCCCATTGTACTATATTTATTTTCTTTTTGAGGTCAATAAAAATATAAGAAAAAAAACGATTTAAGCTCTTCCCATTCACCATTATAGATTGTATTATCACCAATCGTGTCAATAAAGCAATGGCATAAAACAAGAAAATACTTACACTTCCCTAAGCTTCTTAAAGTCGAATCGATGCTCTGAGCCCTGTTTCAACTGCTCTAGTACAAACTGCAACCATGCAAGTTGTGTTACCCCTTCTTCACAATGGTGGGCACTAATACGTTTGAGTTCATACTCGTAGTCCTCCATCATGGTGCATATTCGGTTCCTCATAAGCATGCCACGACAGGTGTAAATTACACCATAAAGCACTACGCCCATACTAATCGCCGGTGGTAAAGGTCGTGCATAGTACATGCTATTTTTAAAAATATGACGAGGCCCCCATAACTTAAATACCAGCATTACACTTACTGTAGAAAACGTGATGCAACCGCCAAAATATTGCCAGGCATGAGCTTGGTGTCCAGCTAGTTTTTCTACGCGATCAGCAACGTGCTTTCGCTGAACCCGACTAATTTCAGCTACGTATTGAGAAAACTCTTGTTTATTGTCCAAAGACATGGCTGCACCGTAAAAAATACACAGATGAAAAAAAAAGAATGAAAAACCCAGGGAGCCACCAAGATGCCTCCGAGAACGACACCCCACACCCAGAAAATCATATATGACCCC